ATGCACAATGAGTCCTACAATAGAAATCAACACTTTTATTAAACCAGATTCTCTTTTATAAAGTAAAAAACACATTTGACACAGTTTTGGGTACATTTGGCTAAATGGTGCYAAAATGCCATGTCCACCTGGCACACTGCTCACTAAAACCTTTGTGAGATGAATWWACTTCAACTTATTCAGTCCTACTTTGCTACGATTTTTCTCAAGATGTAGATGTATAAAATCTAAGGACATTCCTGGGTTTTCACAAGAGTTTTCATTGTGTTTTGCACTGTTGATTTAAAAAAAAACTTTTAGGCTAGGCTAAAAAAATTACAACTTTTCTTTATTTAATCACAAATAACTCAGACACAGTAAGAGTTACAACAGTGGTTTCACTAAGATCTGACCTTTACAGGAGGTACCAAGAGTTAGCATTTAGACCTTATAACTCTGGAGCTATTCTTGATTGATTTTGCCGTGAATTTACAGGTGGAAATCCCCTCTAAGTAAATGTAGATAAATTATTATTTTTCTGAAAACTTCATTTAAACCTGGCTAGTTGTTCTTGAGATGTTTTGCTAACAGACACACACAGAGACAAACTCTCTGTGGCTGACCTTTTGACATGTTTGCAGCAGCTGGTTATTACAGTAGTGTATGTGTGATAAACTGTTGTTAACTGTAGGGATTAGGTAAAAACTACAGAAAGTCTCACCTGTTCAGCAGCAGACACTGGAGCCAGCAGCATCACACACATCATCACCAAACTGTTCTCCATCTGGAAAACACAAATACTGGTTTTAAAGGCAAGYTACTTCAACACAACCACAAAATGTCTTTGAGAAGACGACAATTAAAGACTGGATACAAGAAAACRCAAAGGTTTAATGATTTCTGACAGTAATTCAGTTCAGACAGGGAAAGAGAGGAAGAAAAACAAACTAGAAACATACTTCTCTGTAAAAAGAAATTAGGTGTGAATAAAGACAAAAGAAAGCATGAAAACGTTGAGTAGGAAGAGTAAATTAAATCATTTTTACCTTTTTATAACAGTTTTCTGTGTTTCCTCAAGTCTCTTCCTGCTCTGTTGTAGTGGAGGTGGACTTTGGTCCTAAATCACTGCTAACACAACTAGTTATACAGTTACCACATTATTACACTGCAGTTAACACACACACACACACACACACACACACACACACACACACACACACACACACACACACACTATCCAGGCTTTAATGGTTTATTTTTAATAAGCTGAAACAGAATCACTTGTAATGAAAACAATGTTTTAAATCAGGACTGACTGTATTAAATATTCTGACATTTTTTCACAATATTCTTTTAAAGTTAACATCAACAGAAACAGCTCTACAGAAATAAAAGATCTGCATTTAAAACTGTAACATGAAAACTGAGCAGTGTGAAGCTTTTCTACATGTCAGATAAATCAATGTTGACTGACCGTCAGTGAGTCACTGAAGACTGGAACATCCTCTTTCAGGGGCTGGAAAAGCTCTACTTAGGACTAATGCAATATAATAA